CTCCTCCAGTTTCCCTTCTCTCTCTAAAGACAAGCGCTCCAGTCGATTCTGAAATTAGGGAAGCAAGACATAGGCAAATCCCTTTATCAGTCTGAGCCTCAGTTTTCCCACACGTAAACTGAGAAGACTGGACTATACTATGTAATTATGCAATCATCTCTAAATCCCTTTCAACCAAAATTACACGATGAAGTTGGAAAAGCAGCCCCTCGCCCCAAGAACACCAGCACCACACTTCTGCCCCTCTGCCCCCGGCAGAGTCTGATGGCCCGGGGGTACTGGAGACTCTCAGCCCCTTTATTCTGCCCTGCAGTGCTGGGGGTGGTCTATGGAGACAGAGGGAACACCTCCTTCACCCAAGCCCAGATGCCAGAGGATGACTGTTGATATAGCAACTGTAGAAACAGTAGCAGTAATAGTAATGACAACACAAATAACAATACTGGTGATGATGATGGGTAACATGATTGAGCCTTTCTTACGGGTCAAGCACTGCAATTGTTATTTTATTTTATTCAGTCAATCCTTACGACACTGGTATCTTTTCTTTTAAATTGATCTTAGAGAGAGGGAGAGAGAGAATAACACCCATGCGAGGGAGAGACATCGACTGGTTGCCTCCTGCATGTGGCCTGACCCGGGATTGAACCCACAACCTGGGCATATACCCTGACTGGGAATCAAGCCTGCCACCTTCCAGGGTACAGGACGATGCTCCAATCAACTGAGCGCCCGGCCAGGGCTGTTATCTCCATTTTGCCGATGACAATGCTGAGGCTTAGACACAGAGCAGGAAGTAAATAGTACAGCAATAAATCACGGGCAAGCCAAAATCCAAGGAGGGCTCCCACGCAGTACAGGATGCTAGGGACAGCAGAGCTCCTGAGGCAGAAGGCCGAGCCCACTGGGGTACAAACGCCAGCGGGTTTAGCAAGCCGACAGATCCGGGTTCCAGCACTGCCCCGCCACCACGCGAGGGCTGGTCAGTCCCCTTGTCTACTGCAGGGCAGAGGATGAGATAACCTTCAAGGCCCCTTTCCGCTCTGACATTCTCCATGAGGGGCCATGTTTCATAAGGACTCAGCAACAGTTTGATTCCCAGGCTTTTTTTTTTTTTTTTTTTTTTTTAGTTCTTCATTTCTATTTTAAAAAATTGCATGTTCCTGTGGCCCTGGAATGCCTGCCTCCGGCCCCTCTGGAGCCCTGGGTTATGTGAACGCAGCCGTGCCAAGCTGGCCCATGGGCGGGGCTGAGTCTTCCTGGCTGGCTTGTGACATGTTCCTGACGTACTGTGTGGTCAAGGAGCTGGAACTGGGGGGGCTGAACAAGGGCCAAGCCTTGCACTTCAGCTTCCTGACCTGGCAGCCATTCAGAGAGACCCTGCTAAGTGCTATTTCCTAAATACACTCTCTTTTCATAACAATCTTACCACATTGCTTTCCTTTACAAGCGCTCTTAAAAAAGGGAACTGGACTCCTTCTGGTTAATCTACACAGACTACATTTGGAAACCATCAGAAACTGAACTCTAAACAAAACGTTATTAATGTGTTGTAATCTGCCCTCTATGTTGCAGATGAAAAGAAAATGTTTTATAGTTTCGGAGCATACGTTTTAATTGCCTTTTAAGAGTGCATATACTTTTAGTACTTAGTGTTAGAAAACTGCAGTATCTGTTTCTTGATAACTGTTGAGTGATCTCAGCTATTTTTATGAGTTTTTTCCCTTATCCTTTTCTCCCTTTTTCTCCTCCACTGCCACCCATGCAAAGTTCCTTTAGATGCAGCTCGATACAGCGCTCACATATTTGAGATCTTCATTATAAATAGCTTCTTAACAACCTCCACCTCGCCATAAAACACTTGTTCCTGAAAACGAGTTCTATAAACAAAGATGGAGTGGAGAGCTTTGTCTAAGAATCCCACAGAGCTGGGAACCGAGCAGTCTAGCCTTTTCCCAGTGGCTCTTGCTTTTTTATGGGGGCCAGATGACCTGCCGAGATCTGATGCTTCTGCTACTTTTCTCCACTGTACGGCCCTGTCCCAAGAGACTAAGATATCAGTCATCAACCCAGACGTCTCAAGGGCAGAGCCGAATCCCGAATTCATTAGGATCGGGCCCGACGTTAACTGAGGGATTGGACGCTCCTCCAGCTTGTCACCAGGCTGACAAGGCGCAGGAAGACCAGGTCACCTGCCAGCGTCTGCAGGGCTGAGGTCTCCACTGTCTCACCTTCCAGTTGGCCAGACAGTGCGCAGCTCATGGGCCAGCGATATAAGACTGAACCCCAGCTCCCGGGAAATGAAAGGACCTTCTTAAGCGAAGGGTTTCTTGGGGCAGGGATGGAGGAGGGTGTCTGGCCATCAGAATGACTGGCTAGGAGATTGGGCACTGGTCTCCTGAGTGGTCCAAGCATTAGGTGCTCACAGTGATAGCAAGCAGTACAGCCGCAGCCATAAATGATCAAAGCTTTCCAGGAGTATCCATTGCAGGATAATGTTAAAAAACCAAATGCATAGGCTCCTTGGACCAGAAGGGCCCGTGGAGATGATGTGGTTCATGACTCATTTTCAGGTGAGGGAACTGAAGCCGAGATGGGCAATAACCTGCCCCAGGACTCAGGTGAGCGCCGACGCCTGCTTCCTGGCTCTCCCTCCCGGCCGGTCATTCCCACCGCCGGGGAGGGAGGACAGCAGGCCTACCAGGAACTCCCTTCAGTGGTCCCACGCCGGGCACTGCGCCCCTTCATTCCAGTTTCTTTTCAGAGATAGTCCTCTTCCTTATCTCGGACATTAACTCCAATGTTTCTTGTGATGTCTCCAGTGTGTCCCTGATGCCTCATGACTCACTGGATGTTACAGCTTGATAAAGCACAGAGCAGTGCTCAGTTACAACGCTAATTTCGAAAGTGCTTTTCTACGGAAAACAAGCGTCTCTTGCCATGAAAACTTGCCCAGTCTATTAAGAGTTCTTCCCATGGCTCAGCAGGCTTTCACCATATAGTAGAATTCACACTGTAGGCAGGGGCACTTGTTCACAAATCTACTCCTTTAAAATGATCAAAACTTAATTTTACACGGGGTTTCCTTCCCTACCCTCCCTTTAATACATAACCTTGTACTTCATCTAGGTGCTGAGGAAGTAAGTGAACTAACTAGGAACACTGAGGTCTTCCTGTGGACAACCATGAGGCAGATTCTCTACTGGGCCCAGGGGATGAACTGTTCTAAAGTGGCCACCAACCACGCGCAATGAAAAGACCTTCCCTATAGAAGAGCGAGGCCATTTCATAGCCCTCCTTGTGCCACGACGGCTGCTGTGATTCAGTAACTTGTTTTTCTGTCCTCTTCAGGCCTGCCTCATTCAATTTTGGATTCTTAATCTCCAGGGCAGGTGACATTTTAATACCCTAAAAAATCAGCTCAAAATAAAGCTTGAAAGAATTGGGTCATCACATTTTTGTTTTCCACGGGTCTACCAGCTCAATACGGCACGTCCTTCTTTCTTCTAACAGATCACAGATTAATGGGTGGTAACTGTAAAAGTGATCCCACTTTTAGGAACATATCCTAAGAAGCCTGAAACACCAATCAGAAAGAGTATATGGACCCCTATGTTCACATCAGCACTATTTATAATCACTAAGATCTGGAAACAGTCCAAGTGTCCGTCAGTAGATGAGTGGATAAAAAAGCTGTGGTACATATACACAATGGAGTACTATGCAGCTGTAAGAAAGATATCTTACTGTTTGAGATGACATTGGAGGGACCTGGAGAGTAATATGCTAAGTAAAATACACCAATTAGAGAGAGATAAGTATATATGACCTCACTTATTTGTGGAATATAATGAAAAAAATAAGCTGATGAACAAAACAGATCCAGAGACTGACAAACCTCAGAGGGAAGGGGGTTCAGGGGAGGGAAGAGACAAACCAAAGAACTTACATGCATATATGCATAACCAATGGACACAGACAACAGTGCGGTGAAGGCTGGGGAGGGAAGCAGGGAGGAGGTGTCAGTGGGACAGCTGTTATACTTCCAACAACAACAATAAAGATTTTAAAAAATATTGGGCAGAGGACGGCTACTTAAACATCCTTGGAAAGAACGTGTACCACCATCTTACAAACAAGTCCAAATAACACTGCTCTGAGAACCCAAAACAACCCGAACAAAGAGGTTTCCCTCAGACAGGCGAAGGGAGGGCCCTTCCATTCAGTCGTTTTGCATTAATTGCTACTAAAATAAATTGTTTCTTCAGTCAGGGACATGATTCTATGTTGGGATACTAGCCCCAGAGCCGTCCTGCTGCTGAGACCTCACTCCTTAAGTTTTCAGCAATCGAGCTCTTGGGTGTATTTCATGACCTTTTGTGCTAGAAAATAAGCCTTTGGAGGATTAAAATTAACTTTTCTCATCCTAGTTTAAGGAGTGCACTGCTCTGGGAACATTAGAAAAAAAACACACCCCAGTCCTGAGCCAAGTGCCCAGTCTAGTAGTGCTGATAACTCTTTCGGTGCTCTTATTTAAAAAACTTTTCTTTTTTTCAGTAGTAGTAGAGGAGGTAAGGAAATATACATTAATCTGAACAAGTTCTTCTCTTAAAATCAAAGAAGAATGAAGCTTTATGTTACGAGAGTTTGCAAGTACATGACTACTTTAAATTACTCCGAGTGGTTTAAAGTATTAGAAGTGAACATACTGCTTCCAACTTCTTGACCTATAGCCCTCCAGTGGTCACTCACCTTGCCCTATGTATCCTAATAGGGGCTCAATAGAATATTCAATGAAGTCCTGGTATCGTATGTGTCAGGAGCCTTAAAGCCAGGCTATCAGAACTGGCCATCTGCCACGAGCTGGCTAGATAAATTCCCACAATGACACACTCCTGGGATGACTACTGATGGACTCAGGTCACTGCCACGTCCTCCCAGCCGAGGAGGCACAAAGCGGGCACTTTCTTACCCTGTGGCCTTGGCGCTCTGATCCTGTATCTTCCCTGTCCCCTAGGCCAGAGCTCTGCGGGGCTGCACGTCAGGCTGGGGCTCAGACCCTCCAGTGCCATGATCTTTGTGAGTTGTTTCCTTTGAAAGGTCCCCGGGAACAGGCTCTACCCACTGAAGGGAGTAATCCTTCAGATTTCTTTTCTTTTCTTTTGTTTTTTAAGTAGTATCAGCTGTAACTAGAAAATTGTTCCTTTACGCTTGGACAAGGAACACGGAGAGAAATTGTATTAAATCATCCATTCCAACTCAAAAGCAGCCCTGGCCGGTTTGGCTCAGCGGTTAGAGCGTTGGCCTGTGGTCCAGAGAGACCCGGGTTCGGTTCCCGCTAAGGGCACGTACCTCGGTTGCAGTTTGTCCCCGGCCCTAGTTGGTCATGTGGGTGGCAGCCACTCCATGTGTCCCTTTCACGTCGATGTTTCTCTCTCTCTTCCTCTCTCTCTCTCTCTCACTCTATCTGAACAAAAGATGGAAAAATGTTCTCGGGTGAGGATAAAAAAAAAAAAAAAAGCCTTTAAAGTGCTTTACTTCTCAGACTCAGATACAGCACCGTCCACAACAGGTACACAGAGGTGGGCTCAGAAGTTTCCCTGCCGCCTCCATGGGGACAGGATCCAGGAAGTGCTCAGGAAGGCAGAAAGTGCTCCCAAAAGAAGCTAATTCCAAAGAGATTTCCAAGTCAACCTCCAAACCAAAGAGATGTGGAAAAATTCAGAAAAGCATCCTAACAAAACATCCCAACACAGTACCCTAACTCCTCTGTGCAAACCCACAACTGGTAGGAGCAACGTACCCATGTGACCGCCCTCGCAGCAGCAAGTTGCGACCACAAGTGCGGTTGCTCTTCCAACATCATTTTCGTGGAGAAAATTAAATGGGTGGGTAGGAAAGCAAACCCAAGAGGACTGTAGTTTACAAGTTCTGAGGCCTGGGAGGTCAGATGTGTGGAACGTGGGAGTAGGGGCCGTGTGGTAGGGAGGAGAAATCGAACCTTACTGCATAAGGTGGCTAGGATCTCTGGTCACTCACCAGGCAGAGTATATTGCTCTGTATGTGCAAAACTGCTCAATAAAATTTACTGGCAAGGCAAAGGGAGAAACATCTGCTTTAGTCAAGAGCAGCTGTGGTCAGCAATAAGGCGGCTGGCACAGGGTCAATGCTGCTCTTGCTGGTAGGTGGTATTGTGGTCTCCAGTAATTACTTCGGAGAATTTCATGGAGTCAAGGATAACTAAATGGACAAAGAACATTTTATTTTACTTTCTATCTTTAGCCCAAGAGCAAAATCGTGACATGTTGTACAGAATTCAGAAGCCCACAGCAGTCCTTATTTTTCATGGAAGAACTTCATACCTCACAGACTGGAAACCCGTAAAAGTAAGTATTTCAAACAATGCATTCTTGACAAGTGACCTCTTGACTCATTATTTCTGATTGAATAGTTCCTGTAGATTGCATTAGTCTTTAAGTGTTTCCTTCTGAAAGATATATTATAGAATACGATAAAGAAAATGTGAAAATTATATTTAGCAAATCAATAATAAATGGTTCAAAATTTTAAAAACCTCATCTTTATCAAATTTGCATGGTATCTTCAAAGTTGAATAACTACATCAAATAGAATTTGGAGTGTAAATAAAAATCTGTGCAATGTATCCAGTTGTAATAATTTTTCACAGAATGATGAATATCAGAAAGTAGCAGTTAAATTAATATACGCTGTACTTAAAAAATTAAGCACTTGGGAAATAACCTTTTGAGCCACCGGAAAATGACAAAGTCAAAGATACATCAATCTAGTTAATTTCAGTACCAAAGCAATGCATTTTTCCCACTAGAAACTATATGGAAAAACAAATTAACTAAAATGGGTCTCCAAATGATGGGATGACATCAAGCTCAAAGAGAACTCCATGATTGCTTGTCAATTAGGTTATTCTACACACACACACACACACACACACACACACACACACACACTCAAAGGCAAAACCAGCCATATTCATTTTAAAAAAGAAAACGGAAATTCTGTTACTGACCACGAGAGAAGACCTGCAACAATTCAGGTACCCAGGCCACAACAGGGGAGCCATGTCCAAAACGTTAGTGAATATGCTATCCCAATATGTTAAGTCCACCCCCTGACCCCTGGGACTTTTAGAACATCCTTAGGTGGTGTTGAAAGTAGAGGGAGAGACCCAGGGATCAATTTCAATCTACAGGGTGTGGCAAAAGTAGGTTTACAGCTGTTCGTAAAGAAAAACAACACACTAATTAATAAACAGTAATACAAGAATAAACTCTTATTTCGTGTACTCACAACTGTAAACCTACTCTTGCCCCACCCTGTATTTTAAACCTGTTCCAGACTCAACCATATCCAGAATGCTACCTTAGACAGACCGGTGTGGGATCATGACAGGCACAGGGCTGTCCCAGGACAGAAAAGAATCCCTGGTCAGTATGCAAGGCAGGCAGAATCGGGGCGTCCTGGTGAGCCCGCTCGGTCACTGCGGCACGCAGGGCAGATCACTTGAACCCTCAGAGTTTCGTTTCTGTTCACATGTCAAAGAGGAGCTTTAACACTACATCAGGTCCACAAAGACTAGGTCTCTAGACCCTAAAGAGCTGCCAGGCCCGCCCTGCAGCCTGCTTCAGGCAATAAGAGGAACAATCTCCTGTTGAGTTGTCTTGCGATGAGAACTTCACTGTCACTGAAAATAAGTACAAAGTTTAGGTGTTGCCTTAGAAACTGCTGTTTCTGATAAGCCCACCAGCTGAAATCACTGAGTTGCAGGTGGGGGACACTGTGCAACTCTGATGTGTGCACATAGTTTCTACCAGAAAGAACAACTGTTTGACATCAGATTGTTTGAAAATGATTTTTTTCACTTTTTAAAATAAGCGATGTTATGCCGGTCAATAATATTTGCCTAAGGACTGCCTAACATTAGCCTATTACACTGTATTTAGAAAGATGAATAGTGAAATCACAACTCCTACGCAATTACAGTTAAGTCTGAAAAGACTTCTATCCTTCCCTGTATATCCCATTTTGTAAAATATCAAGTAAATGGAGCCTGTGAGCATTAGGCAATTTTAACATTAAAGTAAAATACTCTTCTAAATTTTGCCTATTCTTAATTTTTTTTATGACATATTTTTGCTAATGTCTAGTTGCCCTGTTTCCAAACTCATGCCTTTGCTCATGTTAGTTCCATAGACTGAGTGGACTTTCCTTAGGTTTTGTGGTTTTTTGTTTTATCCATTGAAAGCCTCCTTCTTTGTCTTTTAAAGACACTACCTTCTAAAGAATTGGCAAAGTAAATCCTGACCTAGCCAATGATAGAATAGTTTGCATCCATTACATGAGATTATAAATGAAATTGTCAAGAATCTGTCCGAAAGAAATTAGGATTCATTCCTAAAGGCAGTGATCAACTCTATTCCTCCTGCTTAACAATGGCTCAAAAAAGGGGAGAATACGCCCTCTGAAAAAAGTATGTTGGCTGGTAGAGGAGAGAATATGAACACGAACTCTCCCTTTAGCTCCCTGAATTCCAGGCTCTCTGCAGCTCATGAGATTGTAACTACAGGCTCCGCCACAGCTCTTCCCAAGAGCTGGCATTCAGTGATGTTCTTCCCATTGGAGGAAGGGTCTAACCATCACTGGCCCGTCAGGGAGGAAGTTCTTGTCATGTCTAAAGCATCAAATATAAAAAGAGGAGGGCTGGGGTCTGGTTGCCAACAGCACTCAAATGTGGATCGGCTTTAAAGTAGATATGAAAGTTACTAAAACACCACCGAAAATATAGTCATGTGTTTTCAAGAGTAGTGATTTGGGCAAGGGCTAGCCAGGCCGTATCTAAAGATCTCTTTTAGGTCTCCTGATATTTATTCTGTCTTCCTCGGGTTCTCGGCTTCTTCCTGTTGGATAACAGGAGTCATTCTGGTCCTGGATATGCCATCACCGGGAAACCATTCCCCTCTCCTCAGAACACACACCCCTCCTGCTCTTACTCCGTTATTATGAGGGTGCTTAGGTTTCTCAGAAAGATTAAGCGTTGATTCAACAAACATTTGTTTTAAAACACCTATGTGTTAAATGCTGTTAGTAGGGAGGGAAAGTACAATTTCGAACTGGTTTTCCCTAAGAACTGTTACTTCATTAGGCTTATTTACTTTCTCTTCTCTTCCATCATTAGCATAAAGAGAGAGCTGTTGTTCTGTGTGTGCACGTTTTAAATCACAACATGACAACAAGCAGAGAACAACAGAGCCACAGAAGAGAGATGCAGAGGCTGGGTGGTCCGACAGGCTTTGCCGATGCCTCCCATGTACCAACGTTCTAACCAGTAATGATAGCGAATAAATTCCTCATTGACTTTCAGAGTCACTTTCAAACCTCAAATGCCAAATCTACGAATTCAGTGTGTCAACTGTATTGAGGGTCCCCCAAAAGACAGCCTCACCGGATTGTGATTTCGGGTTGGATTCCTCCGAAGGGTGCGCAACGGGCGGGGGTGGAGAGCGGAGCGAGAAGGAGCGAAGGTTTCTCAGGGCAAGGTTTCTTTCATGCCCAAGCAAAGGAAAGTTCCCAAGGAAGAGTGGCATATTGAAATCTAATCAAAAGCCTAACCTATTTTTGCCCTCGAATTCATCAAAATCATCTTAAGAATAACAACCCTCCGTGCCTTTTACAAATGCCTCTTTCGGGGGACCGTTTTACTTAAGATAGACTTCAGCGTGTTTGGGGTTAATGTAGGAGAAAGGGGCCCTTTCGTCACAGAGCTCAGCAACGCAGTAAAAGAAAGAATCTGGTCGACTGAGTGAGATAAGATCTGCTTTGAACTTCTCGGGCATGTGTGCTAAAACTGGTGAGTTTTAAATGAGCAGCAGCTACACCGCATTCCTTTTCATATCATGGTACAGTGGAAAGAACGTGGACTTTGGAGTCAGAGAAAACTGGGTTTGAAGACCATCTTCTTCTCTTAGGCTGAGTTGTCTTATCTGTGAAATAAAGATTTGATTCTCCCTGGCAGGATACCTGTGAGGACAAGACGTTATGCATATAAAGTGCCTGAGACGTGCCTATCACAGAGCAGGTATTCAGAAAATGGAAGCTCCTGTTATTATCATCAACCTCATTATTACTATTGTTTGAGTGACACGGTTACAGTTCCCAAACGTCCAGAAGATGCTTTCACCTACACCAAAACACCTGTCACCACGACAATGTAACCGCCCTCACAGAACACTCCAATCACAATATTTTTATCATGGACAGATTTCAAACTCAGGTATGAGACTTAGGCTTGTGAACTTCCAGCAAAGCAGTTATGGCTTCACATACCTTAGTGTTCTTTTAAAAAAATATATTCACATTTAAAAGGTCAAGTTGTAAAGCCATTTGATTAAAATAGTAATAAAAGAGTAAACATTAACTCACAATTTCTCCTTTGGTCTTTACTATTCCAAGTGGTATCACCTCCAGAATACGTTGCACCTTAAGACATTTTAAGATTATCTTGATTAAAATCTTTAAGTTCTTAATTTTAAGTAGGGAAACTTAATCTCCAAAAGCCACGTTTAATACTTTTAGCATGATCTAGATCTTAACAGTAGCATGTTATCCTCTGCTACTCCTGAAACATTAACACATTGAAACATGATCACCCAAAGTAAGGGAAATTCCCTCTTTTTATTAATTTTAGAGCCACTGACATAACGCAAATAATTAACATCAGAAAGGGAAAACAGCTCATCATTAGGCCACCCTAATTTCCATAAGCACCATAAATTATAGAAAGCTTATCTCTAGAATTTCCACAGTTTCCCCAAAGGTTTCAGAGCTATCTGCTCACGGTCTTGCAAATGGAATTAAAAGACAAAGCAAACCAATTCTCCAACACCCCCAGTCCCCGCCCCTGGAAATACGTACAGCTGTAGTCGGGACTTCAAACCCAGGCTGGCCTCTTGGGTATGTAACTATCCTTAACGGTAATACCTTTCAAGCTGGTATCTCTTCTCCAAACTCACTACTCAGAGAATTTGTTTGAACCCAAGCTAAATAATGATGTCGGGCCTAATGAACTCCCACTATCTATAATCTGGTAACCTGTTATTTTCTTCACTCTTGCTTTTGCTTTTCAAAAATAAACTCTCTAAATCAGCACCTAATCTCCCCCTACGAACTGTAAACCCAACCCATATACCCTACATAGGAAAAACGGACACACAGATATGCTATATCGCTTCTGCTGTTTAAAATATCCACTAATAAATGTCAACATCAGAAGTATGCAAGCATTTGGATTTCTTATTTGCTTGTCTGGACTATCTGCAATATCCATTTCGATTTTTGCTATTTGCAGCCACAAAGCTATCACAGGAGTTGGCCTCGGGGCCCTGAGAGGAAATCTGGCTTCCACCTCTGGGACGCACGTTTCAGTGCTTATGTCTGCCTGACCCTGCCAATCACCCCTCCCAGAAGCCACAAGCCTGGCTTACAATAACAGAGTATATCAAAGAGGACAGGAAAGAAAACAAGACGGTGGCGGGGTCAGCAGAGGATAAGAACACGGCGAAGATGCCCTGTGGAAACCGGGAAGTGGGAGCCATATACTTACTAATGGGACCAAGAGTGTTTCTCAGAAAAGGCCATGTCATAAATGCACGTAGGACCTGAACTGCCAGAGCCAGCTCTGCACTCCCGTAAATCACTGTCAGAAGTAGCCGGGAGAGCACCCCGCCTCGGAATGATGGAACTGGTCAAGGAGAAACACTCTTGTTCCCATGAACTTATTAGGACCCGCACACTTAAATCAACTCAGAGCGGCGACCGTCGTAACTGTATATTGATCCCCAATATAAAGATCATGCATGTAAAGCAAGTCTGTTCCCTATAACCAGAGAATTCAAGGGCAGTGAGATCCCATTAGAATCAAGTTTCTTGCCTCCCTATAAAAATATGCCTAATCCATTCTGCATCATGATCATCAGCAACTTTAAAAGACACAGAGAGGACACCAGAAAAGTGGTTAAGAGCTGGGGATCTGTGGCCAGTTCTGGGGTTGAATCTCCACTCTGCCACGTCATGGGCTGTGTGATCTTGGGAGAGTTACTCAGTTTCTCTGAATCTCAGTTTTCTCAGAGAATTACTACAAGGACTCGAGGTCTCTACATATGCTAAACATTCAATATATGTCAATCTATTATTATTAAAGGTCGCCAAGTAAATGCTAAAGATAACGTGTAATTGTTTCTCGGTTTACCAAGCAAAGCCACTCCCTTAGGCCTAGATTCTCCATCTCTGAGTTCTGGCTTCTCTTCCTACTATTTCCCTTCCCAACCGCCACCCAACTTTCCTGCCTCTATTTCCTTCCCTGTGCTGTTCCCGCGGCATGAAATCCCTTTGAGAACCACTGAGATTCAAGCCTACCTTCCTTCAAGGTGAGTTCAATGACACCTTCTCCAATAACCTTAATGTACCGTCCCCACCCCCTCCACTAAATTACTCATAATGTAGAGTAATAACTGACTATTGTAGGCCATCTATTAGACCCATTTATTGTACCTAAATTGAATATAGCACAGGGCTTTGTCCATAGCAGCACTTAATAAACGTTGGGTAAAGGAATAAACGCGTAACCACGATTAATTCTCTAATATAAGTTCTAAGAAAACTTGCCGGCCCCCAGACTGGCGGGACGGGACACAGCAGCTGCCAGCATCGAGCTGTGACAGTTGGCACTTTACTCTTCGCATCCAAGGAGTTAAAATGGAGTCCCGGGGAGATAAAAATCTCTGGTTTTACTGTTTCGTGAGGCTGCCTGACAAACGAAGACCCAGCTGCAATTGTAACATTCCAGGCTCACAAGGCGCCAAGTTTTACTAACTATAATCGACCGGTCCGACTGCTGCAAACCAAATTCTTGTTTGGATAATCAGCCTTTGTTTGAATATGTTCAAAAACAGCACAGGCTAGCATTAGCCTCTGGGTATGTCATGTGAGCTGATTACCCTGTGGCTCCCAGTAGCAGAAACTCATACACAAGAGGAGGATTATTTTCCTAGTATTACTGTTACGCTAACATATAATCAGACCGTTCCCTCGGTCTCCACATCTCCTCCACGGCCTCCCCCAACCTTTTTACTCCTGTCTTTCTTTTTTTTCTCCTTTTTCCTTTTTAAATAATTCAAAAGTCTTCTTTCCAAGTTCAAACAAAGTTTAAAGGTGAAAAGGTCAAGAAAGTTTCATGGCGGAGGCTGTTTAGAAAGGGGTAGGACGGACTGGGGTCCCTAGCTCAGCCTCAGCTCCAGGCTCAGAATTCTCATATTTCACTGTATTTCTGCAGCGCCGAATCGCCTTGACACAATCTGTTTGGAATGAAATTAAGCCCTTGTTAATCATTTTTAACGTAATAGAATAATAATAACTCTACCTGCCAGACAGTCATTTCATACATAAGCAACTCAAGTGGCTCATTGGTTTGTTTAAAAAAAAAAAATCCAAATTCTCCAAATTGTGCATTTTAATTGAAGGACACTCATCTGGGATCTGTCTGCCAGCCTGCCTGCAAGTCATTTGGCTACAAGGAACCAAGGGGGATTCTGGAAACTCTGTACCGACCGCTTCATCTGGGCCTTGTCTCGCTCTTCTTCAAAAGTTCAAATGAGTTAACACACTAAAAGTGCTCAGGATGGGCCCTGGCCGGGAGCTCAGATGGTTAGACTGCCGTCCCAATACTCCAAGGTTGTAGGTTTGACCCGGGTCAGGGCACAGACAAGGACCCACCAATGAATGTATAAATAAGTGGAACAACAAAGCAATGTTTCTCCCTCCCTTCCTTCCTCTGGCTCTAAAATCAATCAATCAATACAAAATTAAATGTGTTAAGGGCAGTGCCCAGCTGACAGAAAATGCTAAACTTATTTGCTATTATCATTTTGGGGGGAGAGATTCTGACTCAAAGGTACACTTCTAACACACAGAAGGAGGTTGAAGTGCTGGCGGGGGAAGGCGGCGCGTGGCGCGGCGCAGACAGGCCGGGGGATCCGGCGTCCGCGAGCGGGTTAGCGCGAGCGGAGCTGAGAAACTGAAGTGCGAGCTCTAAACTGGTCTGGAATTGGAGGTGTAAATCGGGGCCCAGCAGCTCCTGCATCGCTAGAGGGAAGCCCACCAAAGGAGAAGGAAACTCCACTCCCTGGGAGGGAGAGCTGTTTATTTTGCAATTAACAACAGCAAAGGAACTCTCTCTGAAATTTTTTCCTGGAAGGCTCAGAATTTAATCCTATACAACAGTGTGGTATTGAATCTGCAAGGTATTAGCTGCGATGACAGGTAGGAATGAGAGGACTTCTGAGCTGACTCCAGCGAACGAGAGGGATGGGGGGGGGGGGGGCGGCGGACCAAGAAATACCCATTTAGGGCCAAAATTCCAAAGTGCAGCCATCTAGGATTTGAGAAAGGAGAAGTAGGAAACAGAGGGAGCTGTACACCAGTGCTCAAAGTATTTCAGAAGCGAGGTCTAATGATCGAGGTTCATCATTTATCTGCTCCTCTGTGTTCTGGCTCCATGCATTCTGGGGCAAAGGATGAGGGTTTCTAGTGTGAATTTCCACAACTTGTAACAGTCCAATGTTTAGACCTGTGCTTGTCTTTCACATCAGTGAATTATATCTTCTACTAACTTAAGTCATACTGTAATTCAAGACCCTTTTTCCCCCCTCCCTGATGCAGGTACTGAATGAAAAGAAGCAAAAAACACCCAGTGATTTTAATAATACTTAATTCAGATGAATTACAATTATAGGATGCCACAGCTGGGGCACTCTTAAAGGTCAAATAAGGTAGCCGTGCCTCTGGGGCCAGAGCTGGGGCCAGAGCTGGGGCCAGAGAAAGACTTTCCTGGTACCCTCCATTAATGAGACATTTTCACTCAGATCTGTTTTATATATTGGGGTCCTGTACAAAGTTTCACTAGAAAAAAGGCTCAGCTGTTGAACAGGAGGTGTGAGAGGGAGGTCTCTCTCACACCTAAGGGCTGGTCCAATCCTTTCATTTTCAAGTTGAAAAGCATGGGAAGGAAGTTGTGACTGGTCCAAGGTCCCTCAGTGCGTGAAGGACGGGGTTAGAATTCCTCTCCGGCCTGCCCGTTTGACATCACCTTCAACCAAGTCTGCTGCTCCACTTTTTAGGGGAGCCGTCCTTTTACTGTGTTTTGATCACAAGACTGCAACCTTTTAAAAAAGAAACCCTTCTTAGAAATATTGAACTAGCACAGTGAGTCAAATGCACCCTCGTTTTTTGATGTGGACAATGAACGAAGACAAGCCTGGTTGATGGCCACCTTTCGTTGTAAAATCACTTCTGCGAAAGCCATTAGCCACCGAGGGTTCTGAGAAACTTGGATTTTACAACAAAACCTGTAAAAGCCCGGGGTCAGCGCTTTTCCCTGGGGCTCCAAGGTGTGAAGCTTCCGAAATGAGAAATGAAACTCGGGC